CCGGACCCTGCGCTCCGAAGCTGGGAAAACCCGGGATAACCGTGTCGGGAGCGATGGATGTTCCTGGCGGGGGAGCTGGGAGCCCTGTTGTGGTGGAGGTGCCGGGCGGCTCCATCCCCACTGGACAAACGGGATCCGTGGATGCGGGTTTCCACATCAAGGGGCCCCGGCTGGATGGGAAGGGCCCCGGTTCCGGCGCGGGTGCCCAAGGGGAGCTGCCGGGGGGGACCTTCTCACACGGTGCTGCTGCCCCTTGTCTTCAAGGAGGGATCCAAGCTCCCGGAGCGGCCGTTTCCTCCCCAGCAATGGAAACCCCAGCGCTGGATGTGGGGAAAATCCAGATTCCCACGTTGAAAATACCCAAATTCGGGTTCTCGGGTGGCTCCGATGCTCCGGTGCCACCAGCTCCGTGCATGGACGTCCCCTCCTCCTCCATCCGAGTCACAGGACCTGAAATTCCAGCTCTTCCCATTGAAGTCCCATCACCGCGGGGGGACGTGGGGCTGAAGGGAGCAGTGAAGGGCCCCGGCGTGGAGCTCCCGGCATCCAACGTGGACATTCCCGGTGGCAAAGGGAAGCTCCAGATGCCAAACGTGCCCCTTCCAAGAGGGCCGGAAGGTCCCGAGGTGGATGTTGGGGCTCCCGACGTGACCATCAAAGGGGAATGGAAAGGCCCCAAGTTCAAGAAGGTTGAAACACCCCAAATCTCCCTGTCGGATGTGAACCTGCAGCTGAAAGGCCCCCAGGCAAAGGGAGATGTTGGTGTCACCGTGCCCAGGGTGGAAGGAGAAGCCAAAGGACTCGGCTCTAAGGGTCTCGGGATGGACGTGAAGGCTCCTGGTGTTGAGTTTGGAAGCCCAGAGGCTCTCCTGAAAGGAGCCGGTGTATCCGCACCAGACACGAGCATCCGTGTGAAGGGCCCTCAGCTCAAAGGAGAAGTGGATGTTTCTGTCCCAAAGGTGGGCGCTGACCTGAAGGGACCCCAGCTTGACATCAGCGGCCCCAAGCTGGGAATGGACATTCCAGATGTCAATGTTAAAGGCCCCAAGGTGAAGATGCCCGAGGTGCACGTGAAGACCCCCCAGATCTCTGTGCCCGACGTCGACCTGAACCTGAAAGGTCCCAAAGTGAAGGGAGACCTCGATGTTTCTGCCCCCAAACTGGAAGGGGAGCTGAAAGCCCCCGGGCTCGACATCAAAGCCCCCAAGGTGGACATTGAAGCACCAGACGTGGACATTCACGGTCCTGAAGGCAAACTGAAGATGCCCAAGCTGAAGATGCCCAAGTTTGGGGTGAAAGGAGAGGTCCCCGATGTGGCCGTGACCCTTCCCAAGGGCGAGGTGGACATCTCTGGCCCCAGGGTGGATATTGATGTGCCCAGTGTGGACATCAAAGGGCCAGAAGGAAAACTGAAGGGCCCCGAGGTGAAGATGCCCGAGATGCACATCACGGCTCCAAAGGTCTCGGTGCCTGATGTTGACCTGAACCTGAAGGGCCCCAAGCTGGCGGGTGGTGTGGACATCTCCATCCCCACAGTAGGAGCTGATCTGAAGGGTCCAGAACTAGAGCTCAAAGGCCCCAAGGTGGACATTGAAACACCAGACGTGGACATTCACGGTCCTGAAGGCAAACTGAAGATGCCCAAGCTGAAAATGCCCAAGTTTGGGGTGAAGGGAGAGGTCCCCGACGTTGATGTGACGCTCCCAAAGGGCAAAGTGGACATCTCTGCTCCTGGCGTTGATATTGATGTGCCCAGTGTGGACATCAAAGGGCCAGAAGGAAAACTGAAGGGCCCCAAGGTGAAGATGCCCGATGTGAGCTTCAAGACCCCCCAGATCTCCATGCCTGACATCGACCTGAACCTGAAGGGTCCCAAAGTGAAGGGAGACCTCGATGTTTCTGCCCCCAAACTGGAAGGGGAGCTGAAAGCCCCCGGGCTCGACATCAAAGCCCCCAGGGTGGACATTGAAGCACCAGACGTGGACGTTCACGGTCCTGAAGGCAAACTGAAGATGCCCAAGCTGAAGATGCCCAAGTTTGGGGTGAAAGGAGAGGTCCCCGATGTGGCCATGACCCTTCCCAAGGGCGAGGTGGACATCTCTGGCCCCAGGGTGGATATTGATGTGCCCAGTGTGGACATCAAAGGGCCAGAAGGAAAACTGAAGGGCCCCGAGGTGAAGATGCCCGAGATGCACATCACGGCTCCAAAGGTCTCGGTGCCTGAAGGAAAAGGTCTCAAAGTGAATATCCAGACCCCCAAGCTGTCCACGCCAGACATAGATCTCGGGTTGAAGGGCCCCAAAATAGACGTGGAAGGTCCCAAAGTGGATGTTGAGATGCCCGAGGTGGACTTGGAATGTCCAGAAGGGAAAATAAAAGGCCCCAAATTCAAGATGCCCAAACTCAATATCAAGGCACCGAAGATATCGATGCCTGATGTGGATGTGAACCTGAAGGGGCATAAAGTGAAGGGAGAGGTGGACGTTGCTCTTCCAAAGGTAGAAGGTGACTTGAAGGAACCTGGAGTTAACATCAAGGGGCCAAAAGTAGATGTGGAGGTGCCAGATGTCAACCTGGAGTGTCCAGAAGCCAAACTGAAGATGCCCAAAATGAAACTGCCTCAATTCCATGTCTCTGGTCCAAAGGTTGAGGCACCCGACGTAGACATCAACCTGCCAAAGGGAGAGCTGGAGGTCTCGGGGCCAGAGGCTGATGTTGAAGGGCCAGAGCTGGATGTTGGAGGAGCAGAAGGTAAATGGAAAGGCCCCAAGTTCAGGATGCCAAAGCTGAATATCAAGACCCCCAAAATCTCCATGCCCGATGTGGATCTGAACCTGAAGGGACCGAAAGTGAAAGGAGAGATGGATGTTGCAGCTCCGAAGTTAGAAGGTGACTTGAAAGGCCCAGAAATAGACATTAGGGGGCCAAAACTAGATGTGGAGGTGCCTGACATAGATCTGGAGTGTCCGGAGGGGAACCTGAAGGGCCCCAAGTTCAAGATGCCCGAGATGCACATCAAGGCCCCCAAGTTCTCCATGCCCGACGTTGACCTGAACCTGAAGGGGCCCACCATGAAAGGGGATGTTGAAATCTCAGCTCCCAAGCTCGAGGGTGACCTGAAGGGTCCCAATGTGGACATCAAGGGTCCCAAAGTGGACATTGAAGGTCCCGATGTCAACATTCAAGGCCCAGAAGGAAAGTTCAAGATGCCCAAGTTCAAGATGCCCAAGTTCGGGATGCCGGGATTCAAAGCAGAAGGTCCAGAAGTTGATGTGAACTTGCCAAAAGGAGATATTGATGTTTCTGCTCCAAAGGTAGATATTGAGATGCCAAGTGTGGACATTGAAGGTCCCGAGGGGAAGCTGAAAGGTCCCAAGTTCAAGATGCCCGAGATGCACATCAAGGCTCCCAAGATCTCCATGCCCGACATTGACCTGAACCTGAAGGGCCCCAAAGTGAAGGGAGATGTGGACGTGTCTCTCCCCAAAGTAGAAGGTGACCTAAAGGGCCCCGAAATTGATATCAAAGGTCCCAAAGTTGATGTTGACCTTCCCGACATTGAGCTGGAAGGTCCCGAGGGGAAGCTGAAGGGCCCCAAGTTCAAGATGCCCGAGATGCACATCAAGGCCCCCAAGTTCTCCATGCCCGACGTTGACTTCAACCTGAAGGGCCCCAAAGTGAAGGGAGATGTGGACGTGTCTCTCCCCAAGCTTGAGGGTGAACTGAAGGCTCCTGAGGTTGACATGAAAGGCCCCAAAGTGGACATTGAAGGTCCTGATGTCA